CACATGCCTTGCTTGCAGGTGGGCGTGCGGCCCATCCACAGTACTTTCTTCTCAGACCTGTTCCCCTCCATCTCCCCCACCCTCTCCGCCAGCCTGCACCAGCAGCTGGAGCAGCTGGGGCTGCTGGATGCCAAAGGCTTCATTTCAGGTGCGCCGCCAGCTGGGGCGCTGCTGGGGCTCTGCTCTGCGCTTCCCCTTTCCGCCGCCGCGCCCCGCCATTCCTTGCCGCTCGCACCCCATCGCCGCCCCACCGCCCCTGGTGCGCAGCCGACCCCGGTACCGCGGCGTGGGATACCTTCAAGAGCCAGGTGGCCAGCTTCGCTGCGCTGCGCAAGCTGCTGACCGGCATGAAGGTAGGCACTGCACATGTACCGCACATGTACTGCATCACCCTGCACCGCCCTGCAGCGTACCGCAGCGGCAGCCGGGTGCAGGCTGCCGCTGCAGCTGCGCTCTCTGCCCGTTCCTCCCAGCCGCGCTTTGGCAGCCCACCACCTGCCCACCCATGCCCCCCCTCCATTGACCGCTCACTTGGTCTCTCATCCCTTCCCCTTTCCCTCTGAACCTATCCCCCTCCCTTCCCTGCCCTCTCCTGCCCTCCCCCGCCCTGCGCAGGCGGCGCAGCGGGAGCAGGATGTGCGGCTGGTGGACAAGCACATCTGGGAGTGCATCTTGCTGGCCTGGGCGCGGCACGAGACGGTGGGGGAGCACATGACAGCGGCCCTGGTGTGGCTGGAGGGCGGCGGCCGGCAGGACATCGGCCGCCTGGTGTCACGGTACCGCCCCGCCCGCCTGGCGGCGCTGGCCGTCAACACCTCCGGCCCCGCCTGGCGCGTGGCGCCGCCCTCCCCGCCGCCGCCGGCGTGAGCCGCCCCGGCGCGACGGCGGCTGGCCCAAGCGCCTCTACCTTTGCATTTCATGGCTCAGACCACAGAACTGATGAACGAATGAACCCCTCTCTCCGCCCCTCCTCAAACTCAGTCCCCGCCTCGCACCAACGCTGTAACCATCCATCGCTGCCGCACGCACCGCCTCGCCCAGTCACATGCCCAGCGGTGCTCACCCTGTGCCAGTCACAGCAGGCACAGCAGGGCAAAGTAGTGCAGCGGCACAAACAGGTTGTCCAGCTGCTCCGTCACAGCCTCCAGCACACACGACAGCGCGGTGGCCGCCACCAGCCGCGCCCACCAGGCCCCGCCGGCAGCGCAAGCGCTGCCTGCCGGCCCGCCGCCGCCCGCGCCCACCAGGTCTGCGGCGGCCAGCAGCCACCAGCCCGCCAGCGTGGCGGCGGCAGCCGCGCAGGTGCCTTCCACAGTCTTGCGGCTGCCCCGGCAGATGCGCCAGCGGCCCAGGAGTGACCCCACGGCAGAGGCGGCGGTGTCTCCGAGGCCTGCACACCAGCGGGCCGCCGGTACCATTAGTCCCATCAGTACCAGCGGGCCAGTGAGACACACCTGCTGCCGCGGTCCAGCCGCCCGCACCGGCTAGTGCATGCCACACATGGCGAGGTCCCGCGCCTGCTGCTGGCCTCGCCGCTCACCAACCACCAAGATGCCGGCATACGCCGCGGGCCACACCCGCTCCCCTGCTCCCGCCGCATCCGCCGCGCCGCCGAGCGCGCCGCGGTCCAGGGCATTGGACAGCCAGACGGGCGCCGCCATGCCCAGCAGCAGCGTGAGGTGGGTCACCAGCAGCAGGCCTGCAGCGGGCATGCAGGGCAGGACCAATGGGTGGGCGGGTGGGCCGGTGGATAGGTGCATGGAGACCTGGCCTGCTGGTGGCAAGGTCTTGGAAGGGGCATCCAAGAGCCCAGCATCCAAGAGCAGAGCCAAAGCGCTGGGGTAGAGGGTCTGCCGCCCACCCGAGTCCCTGCCATCTGTGAAGCTAGTCATGAAGGCGTGGAGGCGAGGCGCTGCGATGCAAGGGAGGGCACGGCCAGCGGGCGCCGCGGGTCACGCCACGGTGCCAGGCAGCGCGGCGCCTCGGCAGCAGGCCAGGATGGCGCAGCAGGAGGGCCGCGGTGCAGCCCTGCAGCCCTGCAGCCGCAGGCACAGCGCTGCAGGCCAGGCGGGGTGGGTCCTAGCCGTCAGCCGCCCCCGCTGACCTACGCCTGGCAGCCCGCTGAGCCTCAGCGCCTCCGCCGCCAGTAGCAGCGCAAAGGCAGCAGCGAGCGCCACGCCCAGCAGCTGAGGCTCCAGCAGCAGCGCTGGCAGGAAGAGGGCCACTGCCAACAGGTGGTAGCCTTTACGTACTGCGCGTGTGTGGGTGTGGGGGGTGGGGTGGGGTGGGGCGGGCAGGTGATACAAACCCTAAGCAAGTGGGTGGCAGGCAGGGGGTGGCCCATGCCTTGCGTCCAGCGGCCAAGGCAGCCAGGCACAAGCGGAGCATACAGGTCTGCGCCGCCACGCAGCAGCCTTGCCTAGGATGGCCGGCACCCGGCCGCTGCGGATGACCCAGTGCTGCACGGGCAGCGCCACAGCGAGGTCGGCAGCCCACCAGGCGCACAGCAGCGCACGGCGGCGGGAGGACAGAGCGAAGCGCATCGCCCACGCAGCTGCTGGGGCTGCTGCTGCTGCTGCCAGGGCCGCCACGGCCGCGGCGGCCGCCACCCAAGCCTTGCTGCTGCCAACACCGCTGCTGCTGCTGCGGGAGCGGCGGCGTGTCCTCGCCCTGCTCGCCACTGGCATGGCCTGCTGGGCGCGCTGCAGCAGGGGAATGAGCAGCGCTGCTGCCAGCACGCTCCCCGCCGCCAGCAGCACCACAAAACGGAGGTAAGGGCTGGGTGCAGTGGCCAGCACCTGGCCCGGCGCGGCTGCTGCTCCAGCCGCAAGTGGCAGCTGCCGCAGCGCGGCGGCGCCGAGCAGGGCCGCTGCCTGTGCTGCCACCAGCCCCTCGCCGAGCGTGCAGACCCTTGGCAGCAGCGACAGGAGCAGGTGCGTGCCACCGGCGGCGGCCGCCGCGGCAACCAGCAGCGCCAAGGGGTGGTGGAGGCCGCTGCCGGCCCTGGATTCTGCCGCTGCACAGCCCGCCAGGACTGCCGGCATCGCGCCGGCGCATACCCAGCCGCGCCACCCAAGCGGTGGCAGGGCTGGCACGCGCCTGCCGTCTGCTGGGCCCACACCTTGCAGCTGCAGCCGCAGGAGCAGCAGCAGGGCTGTTGCTGCCGAGGCTGCTGTGGCTGTGAAGGCCGCAGAGTCTGCAATACCGCTGGAAAAACTCCATGCCTGTTGGCGGTGCTTGAGTACCAGCCCTGCATAGGCCCAGGGCAGCGCCAGGGCGCCCAGGGCGAGCCCGCTGGAGCCTGCGCGGCGCTGGCGGTACAGCCGTCCTGCACAGCACGGCACACATGCCATGGACGGACGGGCGGCAACGGGAAGACAGAATTTCGCAGCATGTGCAGACCGGCTTGCAAGGCATGAGCTGAAGAAAAAAATCAGAGCGGGCAAGCTTCCAAGTGACTGGCAGCGTAGCAGCGGCGGCGGCGGCGGCGGCGCACCCCAGCCGGCTGCCGCCACAGACTCTGCTGCCAGGGCCGCTGCCGTCAGGCACACCAGCGATGCAGCCAGCCAGGGGTTGGCTGCAAAGCAAGCGGAGCGCAAGAGGAGGAGGGTGGGGCTGCGCGGCCAGCAGCCAAGCGGGAGGCGGCCCGGTCGGTGGCGGCAAGACAACCAAGGGGCGGTGCCCGATGGCGCACTCCCTTTGAGCGCCATCCATTGCTCTGCGGACTTCAGAGGGCGGCTTGCCTGCGTTGCTGCGTGCCAGGGCCACACCCAGCACCGCGGTTGTGATCGTGACCACGCAGGCCTCGGCCAGCTCCCGTGACGGCAGCATGTGTCCATGCAGGGAAGGTCCCGGCCGCAGCTCATTCCGAGGCGCCTGGATCCAGCTGGAGAGCGCCACCTCTGCGCTTCAGGCATTTCATGGGAGCTGCGCTTTGTTACAAAGCAGGCGCCGACACAGGCAGGGGGATTGCAGTTCTGGGAGGAAGTAGGCGTCTCCGCCCATGCCTCTTGCAACGCCCACCAAGCAACTCGGGAGGGGCGCAAGTTGGTTCCCGTATGGGCTCCCCCAAGCACCCGCTGCTACCTCAAAGCCCTCACAGCCGGAGACAAGAGATCAGAGCCCGCCTGAGGCTCCCTCCCCAAGAACTCTCTGACGACGAGGAGAGCGGCGACGGCACGGAGGCAGGCCGCTCAGAAAGCAGCTGCTGGCATGGTGGGCGCGGCTGCAGCGGTGCTTCGCCGCCTAGCGCCCGCCCCATGGCTTCCGCCAGCGCCTCCTCTCCTGCGTCCTCCCTCTCGCCCCTCACTTCCTGACCTCGCCTTGCTCCTTCCCTGCAGGCTCCGCCTTCAAGGCCGGCCTGCTGATTGTGGTGGCACTGTCGGCCGCGCTGCTGGGCACCAACCGCGCCTCGTGCGGCACCAGCGGCGGCGTGACGCCTGCCGACCAATACCCTCAGTTTCTGGTGGTGAGGCAGGCCCACCGCTGCCCTGCTTCAAGCTGGCTGAGCACTACCCTTGTTGGTCCAGCCAGCCGCACGGAAACTGGACATGCCTGCGGCGGCGGCGCTCCTCTAAGGCCGCCACCCGCCGCGCTGCCGCAGGTCGGCGACTGGGGGCGCGGCGGCAAGCACAACCAGACCAAGGTGGCGGCGGCCATGGCGCGCAAGGCGGAGGCAATGCGTACCGACTTTGTCCTCAGCACAGGTGCCGTTTTGCCCGGGCCGGGCCGCCGGCGCGCCGCCAGGCTGGCGCGCCTCCAGCTTGCCGCCTCGGCCATTGCCATGGGCCGCTGCCCTGGAGCGCTGCTGCCGCTGGCCTGCCTGACAGCCTCCCAGTGGGCAGCCACTCTTGGGTGCGCAGGCTGGCGCATCCTCTGCTCTTCCCTCGCCAGCCGCGCGAGCTTGGGATCCCCCCTTGAATCCCTCTCTCCCTCCTGCAGGCGACAACTTCTACCCCAGCGGCCTGCTGAGCCCAGAGGACCCAGCCTTCGATGCCTCCTTCACCTCCATCTACCACCAGCCCAGCCTGCAGGCACGGCGCTGCCTGCTCGCTGGCACACCGCATGCCTCGCGTGCTGCCTCGCCGGAGCCCTGGGCAGCCTCGCCCCCGCCCAGGGCCGGACCGATCGGCGGCAAACGAGCTGCGCCGGTGGCCGTTGGCTTGCGCTGCCTGCCCGCCGGCCTGCCGCGGTCCTGTTGACCCCAGCCTGCCGCGGCGCTCCGCCCTTCCCGTCCCTGCAGGTGCCCTGGCACGCAGCGCTGGGCAATCACGACCACGGAGAGACGGCTGACCCCAGCAGCCCGGCCTGCGGCGCCTGGGACCCCGCCTGCTTCTACAGCCCCCTCAACGAGGCGAGCGCGCCGTTGCCCGGTGCTGGGGGGAGCTGCGTCCAACAGAGTCCCGGCGCAGCTGCCCAGCTGCTGCCCCTGCCCGGCAGCTGCCGCTGCGGGGGCCTCTGCGGCTGCCTCTGGCCAAGCAGCAAGCACCTGGTGTTCCCCCTGCCTCTGTCCCCTGCCATGCCGCCTCACGCGCCCGCAGCCCGCTGTCCTGCGCACCCCCCTCTGCAGCTGGATGCGCGGCTGGCGCAGCGCGACGCGCGCTGGCACTGCGAGCGCAGCTTTGTGCTCAGCCTGGCTGGCGGCGCGGTGGACGTCTTCTTCCTCGACACCACCCCCCTACTGCTGGAGTATGCGGCCGTGCCATGGCGCGCCAACCGCGGCGGCCTGGAGGAGCAGAGCTGGGAGGGGCAGCTGCGGGAGCTGGAGGCACGGCTGGCGCGGTCGGCGGCTGGCTGGAAGCTGGTGGTGGGGCACCACCCCATCCGGTGCGCGGTTTTCCAGGGTTTAGGGCGCGCGGCTGCATAGGACGGGCACTGGAGCCTGCTGCTCTCCTCCGTCTGCTGCCTCTGCCTGCTGCCTTTGCCTGCTGCCTCGCCTGTTGTGGCTGGCCGCAGGCGGCCGTGTTGGCACCTCCTGGCCGCCTCAGGGATGGCCGCCAGCCAGCGCCGGCCTCCGGCTCGGCCCACCCTGGCTGTCCTCCTGCCCTGCCCGCCTCGCAGCACCACCCACCGCAAGTGGCATGCCTGGGCGGAGATGGTCGAGCATGTGGAACCGCTGCTGACCAAGTACGGGGTGCAGGTGCGCAGGGGTGAGGGCTTTCAGCATAGAAGGAGGTTGGTTGGAAGCATTTTGGTTGGAATGGTCCCAGCAGACGCGTGCCAGCTGCCGGGGCAATGCGTGTGCGGCGGTGGTGGTTGTGGTGGTGCGTGTGTGTTTCTGCGTGGGACTGTGTGGTGTCTAGGGAAGCTGCTGCGGCCACCACACTGCGCGTTCCACCCTGCCCCTTCCAACGTCCGCCCCGCAGGCCTACCTGTGCGGGCACGACCACAACCTGCAGCTGCTGCACAAGCCTGGCACGGGGTATTGGCATGTCACCTCTGGGGGCGGCTCCCGTGTGGGGCCCAAGTTCCGCGGCACCAAGCACGCGCTCTTCCAGCACGGCGGCAATGGTGGGCTGGGATGGGCTGGGTGGCTGGCTGGAGTGGCCACTGGGCTGGGCTGGCGCTGGGTGGCTGGCTGGGGCGGGGGGCTGCATGGGCGGGCTGGCTGCGCTGGGAGGCATCGCCAGGAGCGCGGTGCCGCAAGGCGTACAGCGGGCTGGGCACAGCAGCGCTCTGGCTGGCAGCACCCGCCTGCCCCACCGCGTGTGCGCCTCCGCCCCGCCCTGCTGCAGGCTTTGTCGCGGTGCGCCTGTCTCCCTCGCTGATGGCTGTTGAGTATATGGGCCTCGACTCGGAGCAGCCCCTGTACAGCATCCACATCGCCCGCGACGGCAGCCGGGCCGTCGACGATGCCAGCCACGCTTCCGGCGACGGCGGCCAGGCCGGCGACGAGCCCGGCACCGGCGACGGGCCGAGCTCGCAAGAGTGAAGACAAAGCGTGCCGCCGCCGGTTTTGGGCGACTTGCGCCGGGTCCAGGCTGTCGTGGGATCCTGGGAGACGCCCCTGTCGGAGTATTGCGTTGTATGTGCAGCATTGCCATGTCTGTAGCCCTTTTACTGTAGCCTGTTGTTTCGCGGTGCAGCCCTGCTGCTGTGCTGCGCTCCTATTGCCATCCTGCTCCTACTCTGCCATCTTTGTACACCGCCCGCCCTATTTGGCCGATTATTGCAGTCGCAGCATTTTGTTTACCCCCCCGCTACCCCCTTCCTTTGCACTGGCATTTTGAACTAGCACGCACACACATTGTTAGTTCTTTCTGGCCCCGCCGCCTGTGCACCGCAGGCGGCATGTGGCTCAAACCCTGACCCCTCCGTGGTGGCCCTTCTGTTGCTGGCCAGCCTGGCACTTTTGACCGACCCTACCATGAACATGCGACCCCTCAAACATGCGCTCCCAGTGCGCGCTGTAACGTCCCCCAGCATCGTGGGCCGTGCTCTGGGCAGCAGGCAACTCCCCCTCGTCAGCGGTCACCCCAACCCCCATCAGTGATGGCACATGTTGCCCCCTGATGTACACAACACATGGGGGATGGCATCACCCCAGCCGGCGTCACCCCACTGCCAACTGGATCCTGCATTTTGCTTCAATTCCAGTTTGTGAGGCTCCAAACCACTCCCCGCAACATTCTTTACCTCGATTCGCGCGTGGAGGGCGCCTGGCAGGAGATGCAGGCAGAGCTAGCGTATGCTGAGGCCGACAGCGACGTCCAGAGCCAGCCAGAATTTGAGCATCGGCGCTGCGACGGCCGTGTGGAGGCAGCCATGGAGCTGCTGCTCGACGGATCACACAGCTTTGACGGCTTTGAAGTGAATCAGGCTGTGCAGCAGCGGCTGGCAGGCAGCGCGGAGGTTCAGCAGGTGCTGGCTTGCCCGGGCGTGCGTGCCGCCGGCGCCTTGGCCGCCCACTGCGCTGCGGCACTGCACATGGCATACGACGACACGGCGTGGGCAGCTGACATCGTGGTGCAGAACCTGGCCTACTGGGGGCTTTTGGAGGAGTTTTACCAGGTGTGGGCAGCTGCCGCAAGGGGTGCTGGGCTCGCTGCCGTCTCCGGCCCGCCCATTTGCCTCGCTCGCTTGCTTCCCATCGTCAACGGGGCGTTGCACGCTCACGCATGCACATCCTTGGATCCTTCGCTGCAGGCCAAGCTGCGTGGAGATGGGTGCCTGCAGGCGACTGCAGATGCACAGGCGGGCGCCAGCGGTAGACCGACACGACGTCGCGCCTCGCCTAGCCCTGCCAGCCGCCTGCGCCTAGCCCTGCCAGCCGCCTGCCTGCTGCTGCACCTCCCAGCAGCGCAGGCAACGTGACGTCAGCAACAGCAGCCACAGCGAAGGCAGGACAAGGGCATCCTCAAGCCGGCGGCTCAAGCCGCGAGCGGGACAGGCAGCAGCAGACGCCGGAAGCCGGCACTCCAGCACAAGCCACTCCACGTGCCGCCCCTGGCTTAGCGCCAGCGGCAACGGCACCACAGGCAGCACTGCCTCGTACGAGCCTGTCAAGAGCTGGAGGCCGTAAAGCTGTGTTTGCTTGCAGCACGGCTTGCGCATCCAAGCTGCAGCAGGGCTACCAGCCAGCGGGCAGCGCGCACTTCAAGGTGCACAACAACCGCAACGATCAGCCGCTGCTGCTGTCACCTGCAGTGGCCGCAAACGAGGCGGCTGCAGCCTGGCTGCACACCTGGCTGCAGAGGCAGGGCCTATGCTCCGAGTAAAGACCGAGCATGGGTGCCTGTTCACCAGGCAGCAAATCCAGCCGAGATTTTCGCATGCCCATTTCAACGTATGCTACTCTTGTCTACGCCTGTACATTTACAATGCCTGTTCGTGTGCTTGGCATGTGTATGCTGCAACCAACCAAAGTGAATAAGGCAGACGATGGACATGAGTGGTCAGCCATGTTGCACAGCTATGTTCTTGGCTGCAAGCGTGCCTTCCTGCCGGATGCTGCTGTGGCTCCTGCTACCGCTGCGGCTGCTGCAGCGGCTGCTGTTGGATGCGCTGCAGCAGCGCATCGAATTCCTGCGGTGTGGGAACATACGGCGGCGGCGGCAGCGGCGGCGGTTGGATGGATCATGCCCTGCAGCACGGCGCTCAGCTGCTGTGGCCCCTGCTGCATCTGCACGCCTTGCGCTTGCGCCGGGGCTACGCCAGGAAGCGGGATGCCCAGGTGCGCAGGCGCCCAGGGGGGCCACAGGATAGGCGCGGCCCCCGCTGCGGCTGCAGCTGCGGCTGCTGGCTGCACAGCCCCAGCGCCGCTAGAAACAGCTGCCAGCCCCTGTGGCAGCGCAGCCAAAAGGCCTGGCACAGAGGCAGCGGGCAGCGGCTGCAGCCGCTTCTGTGGCGGGAAGCGGGATGGGCTCTCTTCTATCTGGGCTGCGGAGGGCGTGCTGGCAGGGCTGGGCACGCACTTCCTCTCTTCTGCTACAGCTGCCGCGGGCTGCGCGTGTTTGTGGTTGTACAAGCTGCACATCTCGCCAGTAAGCACACCGCGTGCCATGCAGCAATTCCTGCGGCAATGAGGACAGCTTCATCATGCAAAGCCCCACAGCGTCGCTGTGCGCAACAGATGCATACAGCTGCCTTGCGATCACAGTGCTAATGGCTTACCGGCAGGCCTTGTGGGGGCAGTTATTGGCCCCCAGCTTCGTGCACTGGGTTGCGCTGCCGCGGATGTGCAGCTCTGCGCCTCCCAGGTGCCCCATCAGGCTGCAGGGGATCCGGCCGCTGCCACTGCGGCTGCCGGAGGCAGTGAAGCACCCGACGCAGCGCCGAGCGCTGGCGCCGCCGCAAATGGCATGGCATCAGGAGGCACACGGGGCTTGCTGCAGCCGTGCCGCCTGGAGCGGCCCCAGGTGCTCTCGCCTGAAGCACGTGGCGACAGGTCTGGCTCGCCGGCGGCGGCTGCTGGTGGCGGTGCCCCTAGCTCCGCGTGGTGCCCGCCCGACTCGCCAAGCGGCCCAAGCGATGCAGCAGGCTGCTGGAGGCGGGCTGCGGCATCTGCCCACTGCGCCTGGATATGCTGCTGCGCCACTGCCTGCTGCATTGCCTGGTGGCCTTGAGCCTGCGCCGCCAACTGAGGCCGCCGCCACGCCGCCTGCCGCCTCGGCAGGTAGCCCGCCACTCCCCAGCGGCAGCATCAGCGCCTTCAACACCAGCGTCCAGGCCCGCAGGGACCCAATCAGGGCACCCAGCAGAGGCAGCCGCGACCACATTGCGCACGAAATGCTCTCCGGCGCGCCCAAACGACTTGTGCAGTCAAATGCGAGAGAGAGAGAAAGGAAATTGGATCACATCCGAGGCTGGGGTGACGCCGGCTGGGGTGATGAGGGGATTGGGGTGACCGCTGACGGGGGGAGGCAACTCGTGCCGCTGCAGCTGGCCGCCAGCTGGCAGCCACCTGGCGGCGGTGGTGGCGGCATCACCCTCGCCGCTTTCGGCGCCGCCTCGCCGGTCGCTCTGCTGCAATCGCAGCTCATGTGGCATGGCAGCTGCCCTGCGAGCCTCCCTTCTCGCCACCCGCCTGCCCGCTTGTGGACTCTGTCGCCAAGCGCCCTGGGCGTCCTCGCAGGTCAGCGACCGTCGCAGATCGATGGCGAGTACAGCAGGGCCAGGCGGCTCGGCGGCGGGCGTCGCCGCCCCTGCCGCCACCCCGCAGGCGGCGGCGGCGCTGCAGGCCAACCCCGCCCTGCGGCACAGCGAGGTGCTGCTGGCCACAAGTGAGAGCCTCGTGCCCCGCGCTCTCACGCAGCTAGGGAGGCATACCCGCGGCCTGCGCTGAGGCCTGCATGGGCTGTGCTGCCCACCTCCTCCTATAACACTCGCACTCGTGGCCCTGCTGCCGCAGCTTTCGGCAACAAGGACAGCTGGGCGGCCTACCTCCGGCAGGCGGGGCTGACGGTGCGGGTGCACCCAGAGGATACAGCCGGCGGCGCCGCAGACCTCGCCGCGGTCGAGTTTGCCATCTGCTGGTCGCCGCCGCCGGGGCTGCTGCAGCAGGTGGGGCGGCACTGCGGCGGGAGCGGGGAGGAGGTGCCTGCGGTGGGCAGGCATTCAGGCGGCCTCCATGCTCCTGCTCCTGCACGCTGCCATCGCGGGAGACTCCATGCTGCCGGTGAAACCAAGGAATCCACCCAGCTTTCATGGCCCACGCTGACCTATCCTTCCCCGCTCCCCGCCACCCACCGGCCTGTCCCGCTGCCCCTGCCGCACCCGCCGCATGCAGTGCCCCAACCTCAAGGCGGTGCAGTCGATGGGGGCGGGGGCGGACAGCCTGGTTGGGGACGCCACCATCCCGCGGGGCGTGCCGCTGCTGCGGGTCATCGACCCTCTTATGAGCGAGCGCATGGCCACATGGGTGCTCTGGGGCGTCATCAACTGCCAGGTGCGGCGCAGGGCCTGCACGTGCGGCCAGCCAATGTCGGCAGGGATCTGCGCTTTCCTGCGCGGCACGACGGGTTGCCGCTCCCGCCCACACGCGCCACACGCCCACACCCGCAGCCTACCACCGCACCATGCACACCACCGGCCCCGCCTCCACCCTGCCTGCAGCGCAAGTGCGACGCGTACCTGGCGGCGCAGCGGGAGGCGCGGTGGGACAAGGGGGTGGAGGACTTCCGCAGCATAGACAACGGCGAGCTGCGGGTGGGGGTCATGGGCCTGGGTGAGCACTGTAGCTGCTGCTCTGTTCCCAAACAGCACACATCGGGCATTGCCCCGCCCGCCTGCCCGCCTGCCTGCCTGCCTGCCTGCCTGCCTGCTGCCCTGGGCAAGCGCCCGCCGCGCTCGGATGGGCGCCACGGGCCTGGGAGAGCCGCCGGATGCGGGTTTCCGCTGCGCTGCGCCGCGCTGTGCTTCCACTTGCCGCCCCCTTGCTGCGCCGTGCTGTGCTGTGCTATGCTGTGCTGTGCTGTGCTCCTCTCCCCACCCTCCCATCAACCCACCTGCCCCTCCCTGGCATATTCTCAAACTCAGGCGTGATGGGCGGCGCGGTGGCCGACACGCTGGTGCGGCTGGGCTACCGCGTGTCTGCCTGGACGCGGCGCCCGCGGCGGCACGCCGGCGTGGCCTGCTTCCACGGCGCGGAACAGCTGCGCCAGTTTGCGGCGGCGGCGGACGTGCTGGTGTGCCTGCTGCCGCTCACGCCCGAAACCAGGTGGGCTGCAGGTGATGGGTGGTGGTGTTGCTGGTGGTGGTGGTGGTGTTGATGGTAGTGTGGAGTCTGTCGGTGCCCTTGAGCAGCCATGAGCAGTGTCCCCGTGCGCACGCCCATCCCTCACCGCCAACCCTGTCCACCTGCACACCACTCACCCCCTTGCGCCTTCGCCTGCCCCCGCCGGCCGCGCAGGCACATCATTGACGCGCGGCTGCTGAGCTGGCTGCCAGCTGGCGCCAGCGTGATAAACGCGGCGCGGGGCGGCCACCTGGCGGAGCCAGACCTGCTGGCGGCGCTGGATTCCGGCCACGTGAGCGCCTCGCTGCTTGTTGTCTTCGTTGTGTTGCCCGTTTGCCTGCTTTGGCGTCCCCCCAAGGCTGAGCTGCCTTGCCCCAGCCGCCGCCGCTGGTGCGGGAGCCGCCACGCTTGCATCCACGCAGCCGTCCCTTCCCTCAAACAACCATCAAACAACAAGACTACCAAGCAAGCCCGGGCCCCGGCCCCCGACCCCCTGCCGTGTGCCACAGCTGGCCTCTGCCATCCTGGACGTGTTTGACCCCGAGCCTCTGCCCGCCTCCTCCCGCCTGTGGGCCCACCCCCGCGTCCGCGTCTTCCCGCACGTCTCCTCCATGACCAACATCGAGACGGCGGTGGCGCAGATGCTGAGCAACAGGTAGGGGCGCGTGGGGGGCGGTGGTGTGTGTGTGTGTGTGTGTGTGTGTGTGTGTGTTGGTGAGAGGCGGTGGCTGGGGGGGGGGCGAGGCTGCGGGGAGCTCTTGGGAAGGAGGGGGGGTGGCACAAATGCTGGGTGCCAGGTGGGAGGAAGCCGGGGCGGCCGGGCGGTGGCCTTTGGTGGCGTGAGTGTGGGGGTGGGGTTTGTGTGGGTAGTGTAGGTGTGAGGTGGGGGTGTGGAGTGGGCGCTCGGCCTCGAGCCTCGACGCGCCCCTGCCACACGCTGCTGCAGGGAGTGTGTGCTGACGGGGGCGCCGCCGCCGCGGGAGCTGCTGGTCGACTGGCAGGCGGGATACTGAGGTGCGGCGCCCTGCTGGCGGCAGTTCCCTCCCCTGTCCCGCCGCTGCCGCTGCCGCAGTGTCGAGGCGCGCGCGTCCAGCAGACCGCAACGCC